AAGAGCATAAGAGGATGATGGGAGAGAGGGTGATGTGTCCTGCACACCAGACAGCGGGAGGCCTCTGAGGACGGAGTGATGGGAAGTCACCTGCTCCAAGTGCTGGGAGGATGCTCAGGCACAGGTGCAGGTAGAAGGACAGAGCCAGCAGATTCCTTGGCTCAGGCCCCTCTCTCCTCTCAGCTGCCACCCCTGCCTCCAAAGCCCGCCCCTAAGCACTCTGCCCCCCCCCCCCCGGACTTCTTAGCCCTCCTTCCCGGGCTGGCTCTTCCCTCTCCTCATGGCTCTTGCAGGTTCTTATCTTTCCTCTACTACAGCACCAATCACCCCGCACTGGATGTGCTTTTTGACGCACGTACATACCTTTCCCCCTGTCACCAGGGTGCTCGGTCTAAAACCAGATCTGACTCTGTACCGTCAGCTCAGAAACATTCAAGGGCTCCCCACTGCCTATAGGGTAAGGCACACGCTCCTCCGCATTGTGGGGCCATAAGCCCCGGCCATCTCTCTGGGCTTATCCCTGGCCCCCACATTCTTCCTTACACTCTACGGGGGGCGGCTGGAACCACTCTTCTCTTTAAGAGGAGCCGCTAACTTCCCGACTTCAGAGGCTGGCCCTGCTGCCTCCCTTCTAACAGACAGATGACAAGAGAGATGGAGCGCGACTTCTGAGACACGGCCCCAGCAGGCACCACAGTCCTCCCTCTCTCTGGATCATCTGCTCTGGGGAAAACCAGCTGCCGTGTCACGAGGACACTCAGGAGGTCCACACCGGAGAAACTGAGGCCTCCTCCCAACGGTCAGCAAGGGCCTGAGCTGCTGCCCTGCCCTGTGGGAGCCCCGTGGCGGGGCTCCTGCAGCTCCCACTGGGCTGGACCAGGCAGTCCTGGCAGCACCTTCGCTGCAGCCTCCCGAGGGCCCCCGAGCCAGAGGGGCCAGCGAGGCTTCCCTGTATTCCTGCCCCACAGAAACAGGAGACGATAACCATCCACTGCCTTAAGCTGCTACACCCTGGGACAGTTCGTTACAGAGCAATCAATAATGAATGCACCCAAAGCGCCGCCTGCCCTCGCCGATGCATCTGGGCCTTTGTATCTGCTATTGTCTTTGCCTGCGATGCGTCTCGCACTCTGACCTTTCCACCAAGCTCCTCGCCGACCTGCAGGGTCCAACGGAGACCTCCTCTCCTCAGTGAGTCGCTCCTAACACCACCGGCCCCTCCTCCCTGCAGCCCCAGAGCTGCCCCTGGGACTCAGCAGCCTGCACGCTCCTCTGACAGGCCCTGCCTACTCCGCACTCTCCCTGATGGCTCAGAGTCCTGCCAAGGCCACCTGCCCCTGTGGGCAGGAGAGGGCGGGGCACCCGATCAGTGAAGCCTCTGTCAACTGGCTGGAGAGCCGCCGCTTAAGGTTTCATTCCAGTGGGATGAGTGTAGAAAGGAAACATTGTGCAACGAACATCAAAACCCAGAAACCTCCATTCTTTCTTCCAAATGATGGCCAAGCATGAGGACCGCTGAGGGGCCCCACCAACAGCCAGGAGGAGCGGACCTACCTGGATCAAGGCCAGCACCTTGTCCTGCACGATGGTGGGCGGGTTGTTCTTGGGAGAGATGATTCTGACCAGAACGCCGTCGATGAAATCCCGGCTGGCCACGAGGACGTGGAAGCGGTGGCCGCAGTTCTTCACACAGGTCTCCAGCACCTGCCGTGGAGGGAGGAGCGGTGAGCACACGGCCTGCGGAGCCGCTGGGAAGAGGAGGGCGGCTCCACTTCCACCCCCATCCTTCTTCCCGAACATTCCCGACCGGCTCCTTTAGAACCACGCCTCACTGGCAGCCATCCTCACCCTGGAATCCAGTCGTACTCAGCGGTGAGGCTGCCCCCTGCTGACTGCCCTGCACAAAAACCAGGTCATTAGTTTAGGCATCACTTTCACGGGAGAAGGGAAAGCGGGAACGAAATGATGAGCGGTCTCTGAGAATCAGCACTTTGCCTCCCTCTGGGCCTCTGGGTGTGTGGCGTTAGCCAAGGGGACACATGCTCTGTCACAGGGAAGGCTGCTGTACAGTAAGAACTGCCCAGGGAGTTGTTGGCCCTGGTTATGTGAGGAAGCACACACACACACACACACACACACACACACACACACCACACAACCCTGCTTCTGCAACTAAAACTGAAAATGACTTTCCACCTTTAGTAACTGGTTTGTGGGCCTCAGCTGCCATTACGGCAGTGGTTCTCAACCTTCTGGCCCTTTAAATACAATTCCTCATGTTGTGACCCAACCATAAAATTATTTTCGTTGCTACTTCATAACTGTAACGTTGCTACTGTTATGAATTGTAATGTAAATATCTGATATGTAGGATGGTCTTAGGCGACCCCTGTGAAAGGGTCGTTCGACCGCCAAAGGGGTCGCGACCCACAGGTTGAGAACCGCTGCATTAGGCTTTAAGGTCCATGTACCCTTCAAACCCTGCCCACTCCTCCCCTCACTGGGACAATCAGTTACACAGGCCTGAGCCGATCAGAAAAGCACAGGTGCGTGTGGGTTCTGGCTAGACGGCCAGTGTGGGCTTGGATCTCAGCTCCACCACTTTCTCTCTGAATGGCCCCGGACAAGTCTGTCTGAGCCTCTGCTTCCCCATCTATAAAGTGGGCACATGAGCACTCCCTTCCAGAACTGTAGTAAGGCTGCCTGGGAAGCACCTAGCACAGTGCCCTGCATAGGGGAGGAGCCAGTAAATGAGAACTTTGATGCTCGGATGCCATTCCAAAGGCTGCACTACATACTCAAATGACGGGACAGTTCAGTCCCCGCAGGACCAGGGAGAGGCCCTGGAGCCCAGAGGTGTCAAGTGCAGGCCCCCTCCCACCTGGAGCACAGCTTCCTGAATTCCTTAGCTCTCTGGAAACCAACCCTGACCCTTCCCACGTCAGCGTCCCCCAAAGCCACAGGCGACTAGTGGGGATGCCTCCTTGCAAGGACATCACCAGCAACAGGGGGCATTTCTGACCGCCTCATTTGCCCAAACTAACCTGACCACTGGGTACCTCATGCAGTCATTCCAGAGCCCGGTTCACACACTGGGGCAGCACCTCAGCAAAGCATGGCCATGAAGAAAGGTCTACAAGCTAACGTGACCTGAATGCAGGCAGACGCCAGGTACTGCGAAGGATTCTTTCACATTATACAGAATTTCACTCGATTCTTACAGCTAATTCTCTTTACGTGGATGTTGTTATCCCACTTTCTTACCCCGAGGAGGCTTACAAAGATGAAGAGACTGGTCAGTGCCAGACGCAGGATGGGGACTCCAACCAGCCTTCTCTGAAGCCCCCATCCCGCACCCAGGAGACACAGGCAGTGTGTGCCAGCTTTCCCGCTCCCTCAGGTGGTCCCGGAAGTAGCCCTGTGAGGGGGACCACCGCTGCAGAGATGAGAGCTGTGGCGTGGCGATGCCCGTCATTCCCAGAGGAGGCCAGAGCTGGCAGGTGCACTGAGCCCCACGGAGGCACCGGGCTCCGCTCGGGCAGCTGAGGGAGACCCCGAAGCTCAGTGTCCCTGCTGCTAAGGTTTTCTTCAGTCAAGAGGGCGCTCTCTTTCTTAGCCTCTGCTCATGCTGGGCTCCAGGGGACGACGAGGTGCCAGCATTCTCTCTCACAGGGACCTGTGCAGGCTGCAAGATGAACCCCAGGGGTCTCCTGCCTTCAAGGAACTTACAGTCGCCCTTCCTTCTAGGAGCTTCAAAAAGCCTCCTCCTAATTTTACTACACAGGCAGTGGGCTGCTGGCTGAGGTAGGTGGCAGGAAGGATGGTGTATGTGATGAGGAGCAGGCCGGGGAAGAGCAGTGAGGTGGAAGGGTCATGGGAAGAGAGGAGCAGGGAGGCTGAGGGGCAGGGCAGCAGCCAGGACACACTTCGTTTCCCTGGAGCAGACTTTAGAGTCAGATACTCCGGGGCTCAGATACATGGCTTGGCAATGCCCTGGGCAGAGGTGGCATGTGCGACAGAGCAGCCCAAGGCCTAGCAGAACAGGAGATGCGGGAGGTCTTCCCTGGCTGGCAAGGACCACACCACTCAACCCAAGGAGGCCCAGCAACCCACTTCAAGCCCCTCTGCCAAAAGGCCCCCGGAAAACTGTCTCTGTGGGGTGTAGGGCATGAAATACCCAGCAGCAGTTTTCTAGAATGCAGCCCAAGCCCAAGAGTAAGCAGAAGGTGCCTCTAAGCCAGCGGTTCTCAACCTGTGGGTCGCGACCCCTTTGGCGGTCGAACAACCCTTTCACAGGGGTCGCCTAAGACCATCCTGCATATCAGATATTTACATGACGATTCATAACAGTAGCCACATTACAGTTATGAAGTAGCAACGAAAATAATCTTATGGTTGGGTCACAACATGAGGAACTGTATTTAAAGGGCCAGAAGGCTGAGAACCACTGCTCTAAGCAATCAGAAACAGATGTTTCCAGTTCATACACTGAGGCCCAAGCAGAGGGCCCCTCCGGACCTCCGCTAACTCCTCCTTGGGGTAACTATGAACGGCTTTGAGTGAACAGCTAGGAAGTGAGGAGAGCCCACAGGAGCAGAAGTGAGAGACTGCAGGTAAGATAAGACAGAGCGAAGCCACGGAAGCGGACATGGGGCCTGCTCGTGCACCGGACGAGGCCTTGTGCAGGGGCAGGGATTGCACATTTAATCAGCCCCCCAAGGCATCGCTGGGTTGGCAGCAAAGACCTGATCACTAAAATTAAAATATTAAAAATTTAAAAATACTTAGAAATAAATGTAACTAAGGAAGTAAAAGATCTGTACCCTGAAAATTATAAAACATTGATAGAGAGAAACTGAAGACACACATAAATGAAAAGATGTCCTGTGTTCATGGACTGGAAAAATTAATATTGTTAAAATGTTCATACTACCCAAAGCCATCTACATATTTCACAGAAACAGAAAAAGCAATCCTAAAATTCATACAGAACTATAAAAGGCTTTCAATAGGCAAAGCAATGCTGAGAAGGAAGAAAGCTGACAGTATCACACTGCCTGATTTAAAACTATACTGCAAAGTTATAGTCATCAAAGCAGTCTGGTACTGGCATAAAAATAAATACAAACCAATGGAACGGAATCAAGAGCCGAGAAGTAGACTCATACATACATAGTCACCTAATATTTGACAAGGGAGCCAAGAGGACTCAATGGGAGGAAGGACAGTCTGCAATAAACTGTGCTGGGAAAACTGGATATCCACATTCAGAAGAATAAAACCAACTTCTAAATCACACCACTCACAAAAACTAACTCAAAATGGACTAAACACTTACATGTAATACCCCAAACCATAAAACTACTAAAAGAAAAATAGGGGGGAGCTCCTTGACATTGATCTTGAAAAAGATTTTTTAGATATGACACCAAAAGCAAAGGCAACAAAACCAAAAATAAGCAAGTGGTAGGTACTACATCAAACTAAAAAATTTCTTCATAACAGAAGAAACAATCAGGAAAATAAAAAGGCAACCCACAGAATGGGAGAACATATTTACAAACTATCAGATAAGGGGCTAATATAAAAAATATATAAGGGCCTGGCCAGCTTAGCTCAGTGGTTGAACCAGGAGGTCATAGTTTGTTTCCCGGTCAGGGCATGCCTGGGTTGCAGGCTTGATCCCCAGTGTGGGGCATGCAGGAGACAGCCGATCAATGATTCTCTCTCTTCCTCTCCCTTCCTCTCTGAAATCAATAAAAAAATATATTTTTTAAAGTGTGTGTGTGTGTGTGTGTGTGTGTATATATCTTATACAAAATAACCCATAGCAAAAAAACCCTAACCATTGACAGTGAGGAAATTGAAACAACCATCAAAAACATCCCCCCCCCAAAAAGTCCAGGACCAGATGGCTACACCAGTGAATTCTACCAAATGTTCAAAGAAGGTTTACTAATAAAACTTATCCTTGTTTATGTGGTGAATTATGTTTATTGATTTGCAAATATTGTACCAGCCTTGCATGCCTGGAATAAATCCCACTTGGTCATAGTGTATGATCTTTATAATGTATTATTGGATCTGATTTGCTAATTTTTTGTTGAGGATTTTAGCTTCTGTGTTCATCAGGGATATTGGCTTATAATTTTCTATCTTTGTAGTTTCTTTATCTGGCTTTGGAATTAGGATAATCCTGGCCCCATAAAATTAGCTTGGGAGTCTTCCTTCCTCTTGAATTTTTGGAATAGTTTGAGAAGGATAGGTGTTAGTTCTTCTTGGAATCTTTGGTAAAATTCACCTGTAAAGCCATCAGGGCTTTTGTTTGTTTGGAAGTTTTTTGATTACTGCTTTAATTTCTCTAGTTGTAATCTGTCTATTAAAATTCTCTGATTCTTCTTGATTTAGTTTTGGAAGATTGTATATTTCTAGGAATTTGTCCATTTCTCTCAGGTTGTCCAATTTGTTGGCTTGTTCATAATACTTTCTTACAATCCTTTGTATCTCATTAGCTGTGAAGTCTGGGTAAACCCCTAGACCTCTCTGAGCCTCGGTGTTTTCATCCCAGTGAGGGAGATGATGAAACCTATTTGGGAAGGTTATTGTAAACATTTGCATTAACCTCTGAAAAGCTCAGCAGCAGGGAAGGTACTGGGGTGGAAGTCAGCAGTTTATAGAGGAAACTGGCACCCAAGGGTGCTATGGGAAAGCGCCACTAGACTCTAGTGGCACACACACCATGCCATCCAATGGCACACGCTGGAGGCTGTGCTGAGTGGACAGAGGGGAAGCCCTGAGGTGAGGCAAGGTCCGGAACATGGATTTTCCAAGATGCTTTCCCATCCACTGGAGGACAGTACTCACTGTTAATGCCAGCATCACTTCTCTGTAGTTCCGGTTCCCGTTTAGCCGCTTCTTCAGGGCTCGAATGGCATCCTTTGGCCTGGAGAAAAGGACATATTAAGATCCTTAAAAATTACACTTTGGGACACTGTCCTACAGATTCACTGCCATTTTTGTGAACTGGCATATCCACGAAGTTATTTGCTGTAGCATGTTTGTAATTGTAAAAGATTGGAAAGAAACTAAACACCCATCAACATGAAACAGGGTAAATTAAAGCTTACTTATCCATATAATGGAATACTATGCAGCTGCGCAAAAGGACACACTCCTTGTGCATCACCACGGAGCAGACAATGTGAACAGTCATCTGCAGAGCAGTACACAGGGGCTCCTGTTTGAGTTACCCAAGGACCACAGACACAGACACAGTGCCCACGCCGGCCAGGGAAGAGAAGCTCTGGGAAGAGCCACAGGAAGCTGGCAACTTCAGCTGCCCCTGAAGAGGGAACTGGGTGACAGAGAGGACAGGGAGATTTTTCACTTGATTGTCTATTTGCAGCCCTTTTGACTTTTGTATAACATGCAAGTATTTGTCCAAAATAAAAACCAGCCCACTGTGCATGGGTGCACTGAGGAGACCACAGAGAGAGAATGGCCAGGTCCTTGCGTAGGCCTGGGGCTCAGCTCCTCCCCAGTTCCATGGAACTCCCTTTTCCCTGAGAAAACTTTAGTCTCCTCAAAACCCAAGGAATTGTGTGCTTTTAGGTAAGGGATCTGCTGTGGATTCCCAGAGAGAATCTCACAGAATTATAGGCAGTCCCCTGTTTACAAGTGGGCCTGTTCAAAAGCTCACTTATCAGTTGATTATTTGGAACTTGAAACGCATTCTTCCTTAAGTCACTGTTGGAACTGGGAGTTAGAGTCCCCAGCAGCCCCCTAACAAGTACAGTCCTTATATCTGGCATGTTATTTAATTTACTCTAAGTCAGGATTAAACAAAGGTGTGGACCTAGGAGGCACTTCCTGCATGGAGCCCCTGCCAGCTGGCCGGGGGAAGCCCCATCACCTGAGCTCTAGGAAGCCCCAGTCCAGCTGCAGGCCTGCCTTTTGCTCTCACAAGTGGCGCCAGTCTTCTACAGATTCATGTGTCAATATATCTGATCTTTCCAAAGTTGAAGGTTGGTAAGTCAGAAACCTTCTGTTCCTCCTGAAATATTTATGATCCACTTACCAAATGAAAAAGTCCTTTCAAATGTGTATGAGGAAGAGGGGTGGGGCTGAGTGGAAGCTTGGCTAATCAGCCCAATTTAAACAGAAACACAGCAAGGCATGGCTTCAACAAATGTAAAGCCCTGGCCAGTGTGGCTCAGAGGTTAGAGTGTCAGCCCGTGGACCGAAGGGTCATGGGTTCAATTCCCGGTCAAGGGCACGTACCTGGGTTGCAGGTTTGATCCCTCTGCCCCTGTCAGGGTGCGTGTGCGGAAGGCAACCAATCGATGTATCTCTCTCATATAGATGTTTCTCTCCCTCTCCCTCCCTCCTTCCCTTCTAATCTCTCTAAAGAAAAATCAATGGGGAAAGAATGAAGAAGTTTAAAAATACCTGAGACCTATTTCCCCCTCCCAACTTGAAAAATGGCTCCTGCAGGAAGCCTTGGCTCTGAGTCCAAGGGCTGATGGGACAAGGCTCTCTGGAGAATGTGTCCTTGCAAGTGTTTGCAGTACGGCTGTTTCCACACAGGAATGCTGATTTCTGCAAATGTGGGACTTGACAAGCTCTCAGCTTCAAGGGCTGTGTGTGGACTAGAGCTGGTGAAGGTCCACAGCTACTGGTCAGAAGCATGGAGTGGCTTCCTCTCTCCGGGGCTCTGCCCAGCCCGGTTAGCCCTGGCCCATGGCTGCCATTCCCCTTGGCCCAGTCTCACTCCTCTCCGCTTGAGCTTCATGGAGCAGAAGAATGGGAACAAGCTCCAGGGCTGCGCTCCCAGTGGGGGAATGTGCTGGGGGAAGCAGCCAGCAGGCTCCCTCCCTGGAGCTACAGTGAAAACTCATCCTCAGAAGGACGGCCTGGGAGTGACTGGGTGAGCACAAAAGCAAGTACTTCCCTCCCTCCCTGGGGAAGGCTTCAGAGGCAAGGATCAAAGCGTGTCAGAGGAACTGCCAAGTTTTAAGCAGCAGCAGCAGCAGGTTGGACGGCAAGGAGCTAGGAACAGGGAGACGGGAGAGGGAAGAACCAAGAGCCAAGGAGCAGAAAGAATCAGGAGGCAGTGGCAGGTGTGAGATGCCCCAACACCCTGGCAGCTTTGGCAGGAAAAGCCAGGCCTCAGGGCTGCCCAGCGCCTCAGGTCAGGCTACAGCCCCGAAATGAAGTAAGAGACCTTTCCATCGTGTCCCTGTCGACTCCAGAAAGGCACTTCTGAAGTGCTTCCTCCTTATTCCAAGATGGAGGACACAGCTGCCCCCATGACTCACCTCGAACACCTCCCTGCCCTCCTTCCCCAACCCCACTCTGCTACGGGCCTGCTCCTCTGCTCCCCTCCTGCTAAGAGGCTGGGAAACAGACAAAACTTCAGTGAGCTGGGAAGATCCAGAAATTCATGAACATGACCCAGGTCAGTGGGTCCTCATCAGAGCCGCACATCAAAGCACAGCACTTACCAAGTCCACGTGCCTATGCCCTCCTTAGGTAGGACTGGGAGGGGCCTGGCAAAGGGCTCTGCAACCTTCCTGGGGAGGCTACTCAGCCAGGCATTCCTGGCTAATGACCAAGAATTCAGGACACAAGGGGCTATTGCCTCAGGCTGGAGAAGACCTCAACCCTGGAAATTGGGGAAAGCCCAGGGAGGGGCCTGTGGGGCAGCCACCGGACCCCGGCCTCCCAGAGGTAGAAGTGCAGGCAAGGTGCTGGGGGCTGGAGCCGTCTTCCGGGGCTTACACCCTGCCCTTCATAGCTGTGGTGTGAGACCTTTGGCAAGTGACCAAACCACTCTGGGCCTCAGTTTCCTCAACATTAACACAAACTGTCCCTACCATATAGGGCTGTTGGGGGTGGTGCTGCATGAGCTGGTGCAATCCAGGGCACGGCACAGGGGTCCGGCACGTGGCAAGTGCTCAGAGAACGGCTGAGGGAAGGGCGGTGAATCCATGAGACAGGTACTATTGGCACCCCCACTTGTTAATGAGGAAACAGACACAGAGATTAAGTCACTCACCCAGGATCACATGACAAGTGAGCGGAGGACCGAGGACTCCGGCCCAGGCTGGTGGCTGCAGGCTCCATGCTCCTCACCCCGCTGCACTCCTTTCCTATGCTGCCTACACTGCCCTCCAGCCAGGGGGTCTCCTTCCTTCCCCTGCCATCCACCCTCACTTGGCTGACCGAGGACTCCACTTGGATGTCACCTCCTCTCAGAACCCTTTGCTGCTGCCGCCCCGGCTGGCGAGCTGCCCGCTCTAGCATCTCTCCTGAACTCTGAGCATCTTCCTCAAGCACCGTCGCGTTGGTACAGTTCTATTGTTCACCTAGCTAACACGTTTGTCAGAACCATTGTGTGCACACTACGCTAGGTGCTAGGGATGAAATGGTGGCAAAACAGTTTCTGGCCCTGGCTGGTGTGGGCCAGTGGTTAGAGGGCCAGCCCTCACACCAAAAGGTCTGGGGTTCAATTCCTGATCGAGGGTTGCAGGTTCGATCCCCGGCCCCTGGTTGGGGGCATGTGCAGGAGGCAACCAATCGATGTGTCTCTCACATCCATTTTTCTTTCCCCCTCACCTCTCTCTCCCACGCCCTCTCCCTCCCTCCCTTCCATTCTCTCTAAAAATCAATGAAAAAAATATCCTTGGATGGATTAACAACAACAAAGTGGAGTGTGCAGTGTAGGGGGAAGTGGGGATGAGACAGCCCTGTGACAGGTCCCGCAGGTGTGGAAGTGTAACCTGTGAGGAGAGTGCGTACAGAACAGGGCACTGTGAAATCACATAACGGGGATTTGTCCAAATCAGGAGGGAGGGGAGTCAGGGAAATGAGACAAGTGAATGAAAGAACTAGTCAGTGAGAGGGAGAGGCGTGGGGAGGGAAGAGAAGGACACTGGGCCTGGAGCCCCGAAGCAGGAAGGGGGCAGGGTACCCACCGTTAGCCAGGCTTGGGGGGGGGGAGATCTTGGCAGTGACCTCATAGCAGAGGCAAGGCTAGGACACCCCCAGGGAGCACTGGGGACTCTCTGGAAATAGAGGAACAGGAGTGCGGGTCACTTCAGGAAGAAAGCGCTTTGAGGACACACCTGCAGACCCTGGAAGGAGGCCTGTCCCTTTGGAAGGAGAAGGCCGCATTCTAACACATTTGCATGCATGCCCCTCCCATTTGTGGCGAATGGCAAACAGGGCTATGGGAAGTGCAAGGGGCTGAAAGATCAGAGGGGCTGAAGGGTGAGGGCCCCAAATGGAGTGGCTGGAGGGCCCGGTCATCCCACAGGGTCTGTGAAGGATTTCACAGGATTCCCTTGTTAGCAAGGGTGTAACTTCGTGAGTTCTGCATTTCCCAGCGCCCCTCTGCCTGCAGCATGGAGAACAGACAAAGGGGAAGAGGCCGGGGCAGAGGGACTACCCATGGGGACAGCCCACTCTAGAGGATGACACAGGAAGACAGCTCTTTACAGCCCGACTGCGCCCACCTCTCTAGCCTCTGTTCCAGAAAATCCCCTCCCCACTCCTCCCTGCACACCCAGACCTCACCTGTACACCGCGCCCCACCCCCCATGCTGCCCTTGCCATGCACCCTTAGCTACACAGCACGCTTCTCCTCTTCCTGCCATCCTTGGGCTCAGACTAATGCCCGCCCCTCCAGGAGGCACCCACTGCCTCTGAGTCTCAGCAATGGGCACACTTCTCTGCCACAGCCCAGCTGGCCCTGCTTGTGAGTGCCCCACTCACCATGGCATCTGGGCCTCCACCTGTGGGGCCAACAAATGTGGCTGCGCAGCTAGATAAACAAGGAAATGAGTGGCATCCGGGGTGGACGTAAAGAAGAAAGGCCCGAGTGGGGCTGCAGGAAGAGCCCAGTGACTATGGCATTAGACATGCAGAGCCCCAAGTTTGTGA